GGTTAAGAGAGGTGGATCAATCGCCACCCTAAACCCTAAACCGCCTGGCTCAGTACATGGCCTCCGCCGTGCTGTCCACGGCGTGCACAGAACTGCTGAAAGCCCTGCCATCCAACTCTACTGCACTTCAACGCGAATCACCCGAAGTAACACCTACCTATTTTTAGGGTTTAGGATTTTGGGTTTATGTCCTCGTAGAATCTCAAATAAAGAACCCCAGAATCCCCCTATAATCCTGTATTACTCATGGTTTTACTTGTGGTTGTCTAAAATTGCACACCCAATTTCTACGCTCACCAGTATTCTGGAGGAACACTCTGCGTACACCAAGAAACCGTTGCCAATAACAAAACCCCATCTCATATCCCTAGAGTCCCTAAAGTGGATGGAGGAAACCTTGGACCAGCCTACATGGCCCCAATGCTGGGCTGCAGTTAAGTTACTATAACAAAGAAAGCCTATCATTTTTCTACACCCATATCATTGTAACTTGGCTTAAGTCCCCTAACAGGAACGCAGAATAAACCCTAAACCTGAATGGCAACTACAATACTTTGGGGCTCCTAAGTGGCGCAAGGTTTCCTCCATCCACCCTAGGCCTCCTTCCCAGAAAAACTTCATCACCTTGCAACCATAGGGTTTAGGGCTTAGGATTTATGGTTTAGGATTTAATTTTAGGATTTAGGGCCTAGGGAAGCTGACATGGAACACCATATAGCAAGCCTTCTAAAAGGACAGTTCTATGAGAGTTTGAGGGGAGGGTAGGGCTTAGAGCTTAGGATAACATTAGGGTTTTTACGTGCTGTGTGCAGACTTGGGAGTCTTCGCAGATTAGGGCTTAGGGTTTCCAGCAATAGAAGATCTCTTCTATACCTCCATTGACGTCTAGGGGTTTAGGACTAGAATGATGCAGAATCAAATGGAAAGGGAAATGGCAAATGAAACGGAAACTAGGATTCTATAGGTGTTTCTCGGGGCCACAAGCGGACTTTAGCAACCCCAACCCCAAAAATAGGATCCCATCCCATGATACTTATAGGGTCCCAGGTTTGGGGGTTTGGGTTGCCAAAGCCCTGTTGTTGTCGGTATATCATTATCCTGATTACGGGGGAGGGTCCATCTCAAAATGAACTCCCTAAACCCGACACCTGTGTAGGGTTGAGAGTTTGGGGTTTAAAGGGTTTAGGGTTTAGGGCTTAGGGTTTAGGGCTTGGGGTGTCACACTTCTGAAAGCTCCTTGTACCCGGATCGCGGCCCTCCATACAAGATGAACGTCAGGAGGACCCAGCCAAACCTGGGTTTGGGGTTTAGGTTTTAGGGTTTAGGGCCTGGGTTGCTTTTCAGGAACCTAAATTGCTCAGGGGCTATCTGAACACACCTCTCGAACATACCCCTAAATTCTGCAAGTAGGAACACCATAAGAGAGCTGTAACATAGCATGTATAATCCTCTTGTAAGGCATTGTTGATGCAGAGCTTTGGAATTTGATAACATGGCAACAAAATCTTTGAACTGCCAGATGGCACAGCGGTGGCAAGTTTTTTGCAATCGTTGCTTAGTTTGGTGCTGCAATCGCATGGGAAGTCCAGGGAGAGCTGCCAGAAGATTTTGAAGTGGGTTAGTTTAAGGAACCAAAAAAAAGGAAACCGTATAAGCTGCTTTCGATTCATGTTATGGTTACTTAACATCCTTTCTTCAATCCCCATTCAGCGCCCATATCCTAACCCCAGTTTCCATTCTGATTTGCAAGCCCTTTTGCATTTGATTCTCCATTATGGCAAATTAATCCAAACCTGGTAACTCTTAAGTTGCTTACCCCTAAACCCTAAACCCTAAAACCCTAAACCCCTAAACCCTAAACCCTAAACGCTTCATCCTACACCTTAAACTGCCTTAACAGCAGGCCAGGAACGCAACAAGCGGGAGCACCGCAAAGTTTGGCCCTAAAGTGTAGAAGGGTAACCTTGGCTGGCACTTGGGTACTGGTTTAGGTTAGGATAATGGAGAATCAAATGGAAAAGAAAATGGAAGCTGGGATTATATAGGGGATTATAGTGGTTATAATGTTTTTTTAGTAATGGGTGCATTTAGGATTTAGGTTGGGTACTGCCCCCCTCCAGTACCAGTCTGTCCCATTAAGGGCCATATATAACCATATTACAATTATTATCCAACTGTTACTGAGGGGGGGCAGTACCCAAGCTGGGGCAATCAGACGCACAAAACCTTAGGGTCTAGGGATCAGGGTTTCCTTAGGGTTTAGGGTTTAGGGCCTTCCTTATCCCCTAACCCTACCAGCCCTAACCCTAAACCATGTAGATCAAACCAGGATCCTTGAATGCAGCATCCCCATCAAAATGCTACGTATATGGGAATTTGTTTAAAAAAATCTCCCGTCAGAAGGCTTGATAGGGACCCCCATGATCCCATGCTACTCCCAAAGCACCCCTTGGGGTCGGAGAAGGTCCCCTTTCTGAGAAACCCCCGGACCCTAAACCCTAAACTTGGCTGGCCTTTAGAGACCCTTGAAAAAAGTTAGTATAGATGGATCCCTATAAAACCAATAGGGGAAAATATTTAAGGAACCCAAAGGCCTAACCAGTAAACCCTACACCGCCTTTTGAAAAGGGTGGCATCATGACAAAGTAGGCCAGCATGAACGACACGATCAACAATGGTGAGATCAGGAGCGTCGCTGGCAGCCGGGGCATCCATCTGGATTGAAAGGGGTTTGGGGTTTGGGGTTTAGGGTTTAAAGCTTAGGGTTTAGGATCTCAGGTTTAGGCTTGAAGGTTTGCGGTTTAGGACTTTACGAGTCTGCGGTTCAGGTGTCAATAGCTTCTGAGAGGGTGGAGGAGGCTCCAGGCCTCCAGGTAGGTCTATTCCCCAAAACTCACGTTACCCAAAATGGTAACCCTAAACCTTAAACCCTTAACCCTAAACCTAAACCTAAACCCTACACCCAGGTTACCAGCCTGGTTATAGATAAAGTGTTTTCCTACCTGGTGCTTAATTATCTGCTTCAGGTACCCTTCCCTATAAGTATGCAAGGAGTCTGGGACCATACTATTGGCAATTCTCCCCATATAGTCCCTATACAGTGCCAGATTGAATTTCATTTTTCCATTTTCTTGTCCATTTGATTCTGTGTTCTCGGGGTAACAGCCCTGAACCACCAGGCCCTTCCTCTAGGCCACCCTAAACCCTAAACCCTAAACCCTAAGCCTTAGACCCTGAACACCCTGAACCCTAAACCCTAAACCCAAAACCCTATCCTTTTTGGGGAGCCCCGTAACTAACCCTTCTACAGGGCTGGAAAATGCTTCCGTCGTCCGATGGGCCTTCTTCTGGGCTGCTGTTAAGGAACTTACATTAGGTTACCAGAATCGGTATACATATGTATGTAGATGTAAGGGTATATATAGGGTATACATAGGATATATGGGGTTACATATAGGGGTATATAAGGGTATGTATTGGGTAAATGCGGGTATATAGGGTATGTAGGGGGGTATATATAGGGGTATACAAGGGTATGTAGGGATTACATAGGGTATATATAGGTTGCATAGAGGTATATAGGGGTGTATATATATATATATGGGGTATATGGGGGTGTATATCGGGGTATATTAAAGGCATATAAGGGTATATAAGGGTATATAGGGCTTAGGGTTCAGGGTACCATAGTGGGTATAGATAGTGAAAAAAAGGGTTTCCCCACTATTGTAACTTAAATTAAGTTCCTTAACAGCAACCCAGTCTTTCTGCGCTGACTGACCGGGCGCACTTCTGTTGGAACACTGTTTGAGGTTTAGGATTTGGGGCTTCAGGGTTTAGCGTTTTGGCTTTAGGGTTTGGGGTTTAGGGGCTTTAGGGTTTGGGGTTTGGGGTTTAGGGTTCAAGGCTGGGGCTGGGTCCTCCTTGTTTCTAATCTGTTCCCGTTGAGTTAGGGGTTGCTTGAAGGTTCCTGGGTCGTTACCTGTAGTGCCCTGAGTTACCCAACTGAAGTTATAAATATACTGGACTTTATGCTAAACATTACCCCAACCCTAAACCCTCAACCCAAGTATCCACCAATCCCTTCTGCACCGGGGCCTGGGATACACATCCGCCCCGCTCTCTCCCCACCCTCGCCCCTCCCTTTACAAGTCGCCATGAACCCTAAACCCTAAATCCTAAACCCTAAACCCATCTCCTTGGGGTCGAGGGCTTCCCCCCAAAGCTCCCCAAAAGGAGTCAGTAGACACGGCAGTACAAAGCACATGGAGATTTAGGGTTTCCGGTTTCAAGTTTAGGGTTTAGGGCTCAGGGACCCTACGCCCTAAACCCAGGGTTTAGGGTTTAGGGTTTAGGGGTTACCCTAAACCCTCAAACGGTGCAAGGGTTCCTCCGTGCACAGCATTAGTCCAGAGTAGGTTGAGATCTCATTGTTCTAGCTCCTGCCTGCTAAAGAGGGTTTAGGGTTCAGGCCTTCCAAGGATCAGGGAACTGAGCAAGTAGGTTGTACGCGTTGCTAGAAATAACCCGCTCCCCCACATGTTAAAACCCGACACCCACCCGCCCTAGTATTGAATATTCCCCATATGTTACAGTAGACCTCAATGGGAAGTTCTAATATTAGGGGGGTGGGTGGGTTTGATATTCAGGCTTTTAGGGTTTAATTACCATGGCCTGCCTACCAAGTTTCCAAAGCCTGCACACATCTTTGGCAATAGTTGGGCTCAGAAACCTTGCTTTTCCATCTCTGCCCTAAGCCCTAAACCCTAAACCCTAAACCCCAAAACCCTAAACCTAAGCCCTAAACCCTAAACCCTGAAATAAGACCATCTTCGGCCTGTAGTCCATATGAGCCATACTCTAACATCCTAGTATCCCCCTCTTTTAAATAACCCCTATCATGCTCCCCTTTGCAATCTCCTATAGAACCCCCTTTAAGGAGTTGAGACGATAGCTCCTATAAAACCACCACTGGGCTACATAATTTGGCCAGCGCCCGCCTCATCAAGATGCTCCCCAGGACACAGAACTGGGCCTGCAACCAGAAGAACACCAATACGAGAACCACAACCAGGAACCAATAACCTTGGCGTCTTCAGGGTTGAAAATTTAGGGTTTAGGGTTAGGTCTAGGGACTCCCCAAAATCAAAAAATCCTTTAAGATCCTAATTTGAACAAAGAACCCCAGAAGCACAACGGCGCTGATAAGGCACCAAGTAACTCAGGAAGACATTCAAGACCTCCGCAAAGGAGGATCTGGTGCATGCCTCTCGCGCCGCCTCCACGAGGGCTGGGCACAGGATCCCAAGGGACAAGTAGAAGTTCGAGTAAAACGGCAGTTTGGCATCGTCTGCGCTTCGGATAATCTGGCTTTTCAGTGTTGTGCGCACTAGCATGTCGAATTTCTCAAAGTTCTCTTCTTCTGCCTCTCCGTCATGCCCATACCATCTGTGCAACATGTTGTAGATTAAGGTTCTGTCACACGGCAAGTGCTTCCCAGTTTCAGGATGCAAATGGTTGTGCGAGCAGCAGAAACACTGGGCTTTCTTAATGCTGAAGCTTGCCAGCTGGCTATCCAGCTCGGCTATTTCCTTCATCAACCCGATGCCGATATAGCAGGATGTTGGAAGACATACCAAACAAGCGACCAGCAGCGAGCCGATCCCCAGGATTTGTGCATCTGATGCATCTAACTCGGAAGTCACGGAGAAGGTGACCATTTGAATTCCCACAGCAACACCTGTAGTTTTTCTTAGGCCTATAATACAAATACTATGTTTAATATTTCCTTAGGGGTATACTATCATAAAAATTACAACTAATTCCTAAGGACAGTACAGACACTCCCGTTGAGAGCAAGCATGACACCCTGAGCGACGGGTAGCAGCATCACAGGCTTCTGCTTCTCGGGATGCCGGAGGAAGGTTGCCAGTTCATAGCCACACCAAATTCGCTGGAAATACTTTGGGCTCCACAAAATCCTGGATTGCTGTTAGGGAAGTTAAGTTGCGTTACCAGGAAACCATGTCTTCTATCAAATATAGACTTCTTGTGTAGCTCAATTGAACTTCAAATTTCTTTAAAGCAACCCGGAATCAGCAGATGGTCGGAGAGGTCCAAAAACCCTGCCAAGCTCATGATGCCCTGACTTTTCAAGGTTGCATCACTCTGAGAGATGCAAAGTCTGTCAAGGAAGACAAGGTGTGGAAAGCGTAGAAGGCTGCGCACACGTTGCCAACTGCAAAAGACCGTCAATCCAAAAGCATAGGGTAGCAAGCTCAGCCAGGAAATAGCAGGTAGAAGGCCAACATGTTTGAAACAGCCTATCACGATGGCAATGAGGCTCGCAAAGACGGCTGCAGGCGGAAGGTTGAACAGCAACAGCAAAGCACAAAGCTTCTTCCAGCCGGGTGTTCCCCAGTCGTGACTGAGGAAGCTGTGGTACTTCCGAACTCGGAAACTTAAGCCTTACTGGTGGGTAAGGAGATGGGTGGAGGTATTACAAGAATCAGTCTAGAGCACTTCCACACTTCGTCTTCGGCACTAGTCCTAAACCTAAACCCTTAACCCTCAACCCTAGACCCTGCGTGTGCATATATATATATATATACGGATGCATATGTATCTCTCTCTCTCTCTCTCTACATAACCATTATAACCTCTTTTCAAGGGCCCCCTACATTGCATCTTGTTTATCAACAAGAAGCTGTAGGGATCGCTGCTCAGGCCGTACATGTCGCCAGACCCCGACCAGTGCTCGCCCAAGCAGCTCAAGCAAGCGTCAAGGCCGATTCCTGCACTGCCGTTAGACTTATGCTGGGTTTTAGGGGTTGTACTATATAGGGTTCTCTGGGTATATATAGGGTTATATAGGGTTATATAGGGTTATATAGGGTTATATGGGGTTATATAGGGTTATATAGGGTTTAGGGTTCCCTGGTGTTAGGCTACAACGAAAAATCTAAAAAGAATTCCCTGAGGGGATAGGAGAGTCCGCGGAGTAGGTCTGGGTCCAGACCTGTTGACAAACCGCACCTTAGCTGCTTACCCCGGTTTAGGGTTTAGGGTTGTCAAAATGCGATCCCATTTTGCGGCCGTACCGTATGAGGGACCCAAAACGGACCCATACTTTCGACAACCCAACATAAAAGGCCTATTGCAGTCCCCATGTTGACTTTGCCACTCCCCCTTAGATAACACCACTGGGTCACTCAACTTCTTTCGACTCCAGGGTCGCACGCGAAGACTCCCCAAATCGCTGGTTGCCCGGCCATTCTCCAGGAAGAGACCATAGCTCTGGGTCAACACCCATCGTACCAAACTTTCAGAAAGTCAGACTCTGTCAGTTCGACACAAGTGCATGTTTCTAACCATGTTCTTGACCAAAGTATTACCTAGAATTCTGTTCTACCGTGGAGATACTGCAGAGGCGGGAATAATTACCAACATCGTGTTCCAGGTCTATTTGAGATACCTTGTGCTGAATTGAATTTACACAAGGATCCCAGGACAAAAAGATGAATGTTCGCCCTCTGCATTATGTGTGGATTGTTGGTTGAACGCTTTCAGACTTCAGACAGGGGCAAAAGCAAGGGAACAACAAACGCCCTGAACATCCATGTCCGACCACATACTTGAGCAACCAGAGAGCTCACTCCAAAAAAAAGCACATCTGCAAGAAACTCAAAACCCTCATTGCACTTGCGAAAACGATATCCTGATGATACGGACGTCCCAAAAGAGGGCCCGCTGAATTGAAACACCCTCAGCTGGCTCCACGTTTGCAACCTACAGAGGTAAAGACACCGTCCAAGAATCTCGGGAGGCCTGAAGTAGTTGTTATGGACTACCTGACGCCACCCCACGCCTCCATACGAGACAAGCCTTACTCAGGGTCAATTAAGGTAGCTTACGCGGAAAAAACTAAAGGGTGATACTATGGGCAAGTAGAACCCGTAAAGTTCCTTGTCCCTCATGAATGCCTAATTTGGCATCATGCTAGGCATCTACAGCTGTTCCCTGGTGCTTAGTAGGTTATGGGGACGTTATAGCGAATGCCACACAACTACTATGGAGATTTATCTGCCTTGCTGTTAAGGAACTTACATTATTTTACTGTAATAATGAACCCTATATTCGCCATATATCCATATCATGGTGACGATGTTTCAGTTCCTTAACGTCAACCCAGTTAGTCCCCTATTCACTATTAAGCACCCGGTAGATTGTTTCCATCCTCGCCGCAGCTGCACATATTTGCCCCGCCCTCCTCACTTTTTTTCGCGCCTGCACAAACACACAGGACGGTGGCCAAGTTCCAAAAACTCAATGGACCGTTAACTTTATAGTAGTTCCTCCAGAAACCACTATTAACAACCCCTTCCTGCATTTCCTACAAATTTGAGGGCTGTGGCAATGCGCCGCTCTGCAGCGCGGTCAGCTTGCGACTGTACAAGGCTGGAATTTGCAGGTTCACAGTTTAGGGTCTGGACTTAAGGGACCTAGAAATCAGGAGGTCCGGAAAGGGGGAGGCTGGGGCCCAGAAATCAGGTATCTGTAAATTGAGATCCTAGCTGTTAAGGTATCTTTGGTACACTGATTTGGTAAAAACCTGGGCTCTAAGTACATCCTGGCACTGGAGCAGATGCGCATCGCAAGCAGGGCTGCAACGGGAATTCCGGACGCTACACCCGATTCGCAAGCAAGAGATTTGGCATCTGGGTCTCAGGGGCTTTCTAGAAGTTCCACTTTGGGCAGGGAGCTTAAGGCTTTTTATCTCGGACCTTTTTTCGACTGCTTGGAGTTTAGGGTTAGGGTGTAGGGTTTAGGCATAGGGCTTCGGGTTTGGGGGTTTTGGGTTCAGGGTTTAGAGTGGGATCTTCATTTTTGAGGCAAAGCCGACTGGGAGCTTCATCAGACACACAGGAAGTGCCCAAAGTGTTGGCAGTCTTACATTTCTGTGCTTCTCAAAGACTTTGCACCTTGTTGTCGTGAGCCGCAGACATTGGGCCCAGGCCTAGCAGCACAGCGGAAACGGTCTCAAAAGAACCTTGAAGCTGCTGAAGGGCTCAAAAAAAGACGCTAGATCAGATAAGGTCGTCCGGATTTAAGTTTTGGTGGAGTAGCATTGGCGGAACCTCATCCCTTTGTTTGTGAATACAAAGATCAGCATTCAAAACTGCAATGTACATAGGAAGGTCGCAATCTAAGCCTGTTTCCTCTCGCCCACAAAGCCAACGGAGCCCAGAAGCCTCTCTCCCACTCCACACCCTATGCGGCAAGATCCTTACCCAGAGTTCTCCCTTGGGTATAGGGTTTAGGGTTCAGGGTTTTGGGGCTCAGGGATCCTAAGCCAGGGGATCCTAAGCCATTTAATCCTGGCCCGGCTGTGTTCCTGGGGGGCACCGAGCATCCCAACAACCGAAATGGAGCACAAGAAATCTTAAACCAAGGCTTCAAAGCCCACGGCTGTAGGGTGTAGGGTTTGGGATATAGGGATTTAAGGATTAGGGTTTTGGATCTAAGGGGATTACGGTCAACAACCTACAAAATCCTACAAACCGAACGCTTGAACCTCCCGGCTCCCACAAGCCCGCAGACAAAGGGCCCTAAACCCTAAGCCCTAAACCGTGAGTTGCGAGCTGTCTGGCATACTTACGGGGAAGCTACACAATGCCCTAAAGGACTTGTAAGGATCCACGGATTGGCCTGGGGCACATGCGAGGCACCAATGCGCGGTTTAGAGTTTAGGGCTTTAGGGTTTTGAGGTTCAGGGTGTAAGGTACGAAGCTGCGGCTCCGATGTATGATGGCCCCCGAAAAGGCCACCAAACCACTTAGTCGTGTTCCCTGCGACCTTCGCGCAAAACATCCTCAACCTACCAGGAAGGAAGCCACTGGGCTTCACCATCCAACACCTCGCAGTCAGCAGGCACCGAATGCCTCCCTGTGAGTACTCAAGCTCGCAAACGAAAAGGCAAACGGCCCTCTTGCAGGCACATGCTGGCCATGATCATGTGCATGTTTTGCTCTCCTACGTGGTGCACGTGACTCGCAAGGCTGTAAAGGTTGCATTTGGTCGAATTTGCTTGCAAGTGCAGCTTGACCAGGCTCACATGGACTTCGCGAAAGAACTGCTGAGCCCTGGGCCTGTCTCGCCCCGTCGTCTGCAAACGCAAATGGTGCCCCGGAGAAAGCAACGCGCACACTGGACAAAAGGAAGAAATCAGCGCTCTCTGTGCCACCTAGACTCCAGAGCCTAAACCTTGACCCTTGCACAATCCCAGGAGTGCTTGCCGCCGCATCTTTCCGCCAAGCTCATCACCCTCACCCTACACACTTGCGGGCGCTTCATCTTCGCGTCATCTCGTCAGTGTCTAGCTGCCCAAAACTTCGAGACATGCCCATGTGGCAGTACTGTTGGCTCTTCTTGCGACTCAAGTGACTTTTTCCCAGACTTGACGGAGGAGCTTGGAGAAGCGGAGCCTTCACTTTGCGCCCACTAGGAGCGAGCGCCCTATTAGAGTTGGGCTCCTGTGCATGTTGTGGAGCTGAACGATAGACTTTAGGGCTTAGGTGTACACAATCTCTGCGGCAAAGGCTTCAGCTACAAAAGGGCTGGATGGATATACGTCTGCAGCAAAGGCTGCTCGCGGTGGAACTGACATCAGGAGGCTCTTGCTGTGGCCTTTTCCTTACCTCAACTCTCAACCTAAAAACGTCACACCCTTGCAGTGGCTGGCTTCCTGCACAACTTACATCTTGGAAAAATCTCCTCCGCAAAGAAAACAAATCCCCCTATAGCGCTTCAAAGAATTCGGCTTCCTGGACCCCTGCAACTTGCCAAGTGTCAGTCGAAGACGTCGAAGACTCCCGGTAGCCGTAGAGGCTACAGAAATGCAAAGAAGCGGGTTTAGGCTTTTGGGCTTAGGGTTTGGGGTTTAGCCGGTTTAGCACAAGCCTCTCTCTCACGCCAGGTTCGAGGCTTTGGGATCAGCTCTAGGTGCTACGGCTTCATTCGGCTTCGTCAAAGCTTAGGCAAGAGAACACTTACAGGTATACCTAGGCCCTAAATCTGACACCGTAAAGCCCTAAACCTTCTGAACCTAGGCCCAAGACCCTAAACCCTAGAGCTTGGGGCTTGGAAGATTCAGAGTTCGTGCTGATGGTTTCTCACCAAACGCTGGCAAGGGCTGAGATTTCAGTCTGATGGGCTTGTGGCTAAACCTCACCAATAAGCAGGTCTTCTGAAACCCAAGACGGAGGCGGTGATCTTGTTGTAGGGTTTAGGGTTTAAGGTTCAGGGTTTAGGGTTTAGGATGCCCACCAGAGTGACTCGTCACCTGATGTTTAGCATTGAAGCTACTGAGATGCCAGGTTGGTAGAGAATGAGGAAAGGGATTCCTGGGCCAGTCCCTTGTGAATCTCCTGTAGCCGTCCTTGTAACCTATGCGCCCTGTCCTTACTGAACACCAAGAAGTTATGGACTCCTCTTCCAGACGTCCTCACATCGGATCATCTTACTTCCGGTTGGAGGAGAGCCTGCAGCTCCCAACCCTCAAGCCCCTAAGCCTCGACAGGCCGAAGATCTGCCCTTTGCCATGTACCAAGGAGAAAGCTCTGTAGCATGCAAGGGTGTAGGGTTTAGGGTTTAGCTGCGAAAACAAGTGCCTTGATGCAAACATCTGGAATTCTTAGAGCCAACTCAATTTCCAGTGTCCAGTCACAGCTTTGTAGCTAAATGACTTGCTACTACAGCCAAGCAAAGCAACTGAGGGAGATCAGGGGGCATGAGA